TACTTACTTACTTATCTTCACGCACAATCCCTGACGGGGTAGCCAGAGAGAACAGATCGCTAAGTGTCACGATCCTTACATACCTCTTTCGCTTCTTTCAGATTCATTATCTTCTTCATACATGCACGTCTAGGTATCCGAGTACTCTTGACCCTCCCCTCTTCGAACAATTTGCTGGTCTTCGAAAGTTAGTCTCGGTCTGCCTCGACACTTTAAAATATTAACTATCGCGCTATATATTTTCTTCACCATTCGGTCTTCACTCATTCGCTCAACGTGCCCAAACCATCGAAGCACGTCATTATCAATTTTTGTGATAAGGTCATCTTTCAAACCTGCCATATTGCGAATCTCTTCGTTTCACTTTCGGTCGGCCATGGTAACGCCGCACATTTTACGAAGAGATCGCATCTCCACTGCATTCAACTTGCTTTTATGCTTCTTCTGGCATACCCAGGTTTCGCTGCCATATAACAAAGTCGGTACCAACACTGCGTTATGTATTGCAAGGCGTGCACTCTTCACTACGCTTTGCCTTTTGACTAACGCAGTCAGGGCACCACTGACTTTGTTCTCGGCAGCGACAAGCCTGTCCACATCTAAATCACATCTTCCATCTCGGCTAAAAGCACTCCCCAAATATACAATTTCATTTACCTGTTCTAGATATTCCTGATTTACCCATATTTCACACTTCGTTCTCTCTTTGTCCCTTTCAAATACCAGAACCTTAGTTTTATTAGCATTCAAACGGAGACCTTTAATTTCACATTCCTCTTTCATACACGTGACTAATGCCTGCAGTTCTGCCTCTGATGGTGCAATAAGCACCGCATCATCAGCATACAGCAGACAGTTTACTTTAATGTCACCCAATTTCACACCCAAACAGCTATCTTTCAGCTTCTGTAAACAGCTGTCGAGATACAGTATGAACAGCCAGGAAGACATGACACAACCCTGTTTTACGCCCGTTTGGACGCTAAACATGGGTGACAGGTCATGCCCTACCCGCACACAGGCTTTACAGTCACAGTAAAGTGACTGCACAGTCCTTAGTAATTGACCATCCACACCATACCCCGGCAACAGTTCCCACATTTTCAAAGCTGTCCCAGACGCGAGGCCCACCATACTTGACCATTCCAGCAGTAACTCTGTCTAGTCCCGCAGCCTTACCACATTTCAAACTTCGAATCGCACGTTCAATCTCTTTCATACTGATGACCTCAGTGTCATTGAGTTCCGGGTCTGGCGTACCAGTCACGGCGTCACTCCCGGATCCCTCACTCCCGGATCCCTCACTAAGATCATCACACGCATACATTTCTCTATAAAATTCGCTCCATCGCGGCATGACGTCCGATTTTTCTGAGAGGACGTCATTGGTTCTTGAAAGCACTTTGTTCATTCTTAAGGCCGTCGCACCACTTCGGATCCTTCCAACCTCTTTCCAGAAGAGTTTGGAGTTCTCCTTAAAGTTGTGCGACAACCTTTCGTCCGCTTCCATTCTACACCTTTCACGCACTTCCTCAATCAGTGCTTTCGTGTGAACTTTCTGCAGCCTATATCTTTCTTTCATCTTCTCTCTCATATCCTTATCATTACTAGAGGCCAAGTAGTCTAACCATGCTTTCTTCTTCTTCTTTACAGCTTCTTTCACTTCATCATTCCACCATGCATCTCTTCTTTTACTACTGCCTCTTTTTATTGTTCCACACACTTCTTCCGCTGCACTTACCATTCCATCCCTAAGGTTCTGCCATATTCTTTCTACACATTCGTTTCTGCCATCGTTGGTGTCAAGCTTTTCGGCTACCCTCGCATGATATTTGTCCCTAGTATCCGCTTCCTGAAGCTTCCAGCTTCGGATGCGACAGACCGACTGTGGTTCTGTTACTGCCGTTCGGTAGCGCCAACCCGCGAACAGACCCCTAAATCTAGTAATTACTAGATAGTGATCCGTTCTCAGGTCAGCACCCCTGAACACTCGCGTATCCATCACCTGTTTTCGCAGTCGGTCATCCACCAGGAACAAATCAATCATACTTCTCTCATTCTTTCCTTCTCGTCGTTATTAAACATAGTGTTTGTCACAAGAAGACCCTTTTCCTTGCATATAGCCAGTATAAGCTTGCCAGCATCATTAACCCTTTTATCGCCAAACTTTCCAAGCATCGACTCGTACCCTGGTCAAGCGGTACCAACCCATCCATTCAAATCACCACATACAATAATTCTTTCGTTTCCCCTAACCAAATCTAGAACTTCTCTTACATTCTCCCAAAACTCCTCCAGCTCAGCCCTGGACGACGAAGCTACCGGTGCATAAACAGTCAAAAGGAATACCTTCGTCAGTCCCAATTTAAAGCGAACCCAGAGAAGTCTTGAGTTCACAACCTTATATTCAGTCATAACATCGACCAACCGAGACGACAGCAGCACCCCCACTCCCTGGCAGGCGCTCCCGCTCTCCGGGACTCCGGACCATAGAGCTAACGCCCCGCCAGGGTGCTCTTCAGTACCACTGCCCTTCCGTTTGGTCTCCGACATACACACGACATCTAATTCTCTTTCTTTCATTATTTCGATCAACTCATTCGTCTTATCTCTCATGCCTCCTCTAACATTCCATGTGCCAACTGTGCACTCTGTCCTCCACCCCATATACGCGTAATAAAAAGCACCGCTCACCCCCTAGAAGCTAAGAAGTTTTCAATGCTGACGTGGAGTCCTACGGCTGACAGTTTTATTAAATAACACACGGGTCATCGGTTAATGGTCGAGAGCACTAGTTCAAGGGTAGCCTCGAACGTACGACACGAGGTAGAACGTACGATTTCTTTTTTTGCATGTATAAAATACACAAAATATCGCAATACGAGCACTTAAAAATACGCACAGGACATGCGCGTGGTGAATACAAATGAGCACAAATAAAATTGTTTTACGAGTTGTTTACAAGCGTTGCGCATGCGCCGTAGTGACCTTGACCTTGCGGTCACGTGGTGTCGGCGCCACAACCTCTATATCTATATATAAAGCCTCTATCGCAAGCTGTTATGTATCAAAGTGAATTAAAATTATAAATAACCTTAATTCATTAAATAATGTTGAAGCATTTTTACGTATCGATGAGGTAAACGAGCATGCAACTCCAGGTGAGTTGACATTGTAAGTGAATCGAACCCGGGTTGCTCGCATACTGTAAAATTTACGGCAAGCGCTTAGCACTTAAGCTATCACGGCTTTTTCTTTTTTTTTACTATACTAAGCCAGTGCTTGAATACTATCTCACCTGATGGTAAGTGGGCTTATTATCAATCTTCATTCATAATGATTTTTAATATTTTTTTTATAGAGTAAGGGTCACAAACAAGCCTACACTTCACCTGGTGGTAAGTAGATGCTGTGGCTCGTAGACACCAACATCTATCCTCAATTGAAAATCAAAATACAGATTCGTATCCCCTGTGGATTAAGATGGAATGCCTCGTATCCATCCAGTGAAAAGGATCGAGCCAAACACGTCATAAAGCTCTGTTATAATATTGTTGCAGAATGGCTTTATCACGTAAACAAGTGGTAAAATAAAAAAAAATTGTACAACGTACTTCTATATGAATAAAATAAAAACATCATCAATATAGTCGAAGTCAATTAAATACGAATTATTAGGATACATCAGAAACTACTGGTCAGATCTTGTTCAAATTTATATAAGACAACATGAGAAGTACCAGCTTTCGAATAAAAAAATCAAAATCGGTTCACCTATAAAAAAGTTCTGAGGTAACACACATAGAAAATACAGTCGAATTGAGAACATCCTCCTTATTTGAAGTCGGTTGAAAAGATGATTTAAAAAAAAAAACTTTTATTAAATATTACGTGACAACGGATTTTCACTGTGTCGTCTATTATGAAAGTTAATACGTAGCCAAACATTAATTGGGATCATGATAAGTATAAACTTATATAGTTGTCGGCATTATACAGGATTTTCTCAACATTCCGTAGGATTATTATTTTAATGACCTTTCTTACACTAGGAAGCGTTTGGATGTCACAAGCTTAAGTCTCTAATATTTAAGCCATGAGAGCGGCTTAAATATTAGAGACTTATGCTATAAATCAAAATTTTTAAATTGTAAGAAATTTAAGATAGGCGCCCACGCGACAGTTAAATTTCTTAACTGATTTAATCGAAACTTACGTATCCAGGGTTTTAAAATTTAATATATTTTAAAGCCCTGTGAATGAAATATAGCCACGCGCTCTGGGTTCTGACGGGGTTGTCGCACTTTTGCAGTGCGTCACAATACTGATGTTTACTGATCTGTTACTGGAAAAAGAATGACATCTCAGACTTCGTGTAAGTGAGAGCTATATTGTAGCTATATTATGGTTATAGCACCAATAGGTCGGCGCTGTTGCTGAGATTCAGAAATCACCCGTGCGAAGCCAGCGCAGATCGTTAGTTAAGTATAAGTTTAAATAAAAGCGATAAAATCCATAAGGTTTCTTATTTCCTACAATCATTCGTCTCAGATATACCTCAAAACTTGAAAACAAGATTGTAGAACCAGTGCGTGTTACCAGTGATAAGTTATGGGTCTGAGGCGTGGTCCTTCTCTGTCGGCCGTATGAGGAAACTCAAGGTCGCTCAGCGAGCTATGGAGAGGGCAATGCTCGGGGTTTCTCTGTGTGATAAACTTAGGAATGAGGATATCCGCAGTAAAACCTGAGTAACCGACATGGCCCACCGGATTAGTATACTGAAGTGGAATAAGCCGGCCATTTAGCTAGCTTTTTATATTTATGAAGTATATTTTGTTTGTAAAATTGATGTTCCGCAAGTATCAGCAATAAATAAATGTGTTCTTTCTTTCTTGCTTTCATTAACTACATAAAACATTAAATAATCTTGTATATTAAAAAAGTATTTTCAAAATGAAAATAAAACATTGTTGCAGATGAAGCAGCTGTAATCGTGCGGCATGGGCCAGGCGGGCAGCCACCCGGCCGGCGCGGTCCCGCACCGGGCCCGCCGCTCCAACACGTTGACTCACGAACCCCTCCGACATGCACCGAAGGTATGAAGATATAACTTCTGAGCTTGTGACGGCTCTCTTTGAAAAATTACATTACGGAGGCTCCAATGACACCACATATTGGCGTCCTATCGGACTATAAGTAATAGAGAGCGCACCTGTGCTTGCGCGTACTCAGAAGGGTGACATTGAGCACACGGTCCACCCTATGGTAAGTGGTTGCTGTGGCCCAAAGACATCTATTTAGACATTTATCCTCGACTGAGAATCAAAATGCAGATGTATTGCTTCCTCTGAGGATTAAGAACAAATGTCTCGTTTCCAGTGAAAAGGATTTCCGGTTGTCTACACTCACCACACGAAACTAGCAACTTAATGCTGTTCTTTGGCGACTCAGTAGCGCAGCACACAGTGTCGAATAGAATATTTTTTATTCAATATAGAGTAATTGTTTTGGAAAGTAATTTTTTATTTTTACCACTGGTTCGGAAAAAGTCCTCTGTCCTGGGAAGTACTTGCAAGAAACCCAGCGAGACTTTTATTTTATCAAAGTAAATTACACAATACGAAAAGTATTAAAAACTTTTTACAAAACTTAAGACGAAGCGATCACATCATTTCCAGGGGTTATTTTCAACCATGTACGCATTTAGTTTTACGTGGTAGGACCACGCTGCAGCTATATTATGGTTGTAGTGCGAATGAGTCGTCTCGCCCGGAGTAGTACCGCGCCCTCACAGAATAAAAGAGTTCTATTTTACTTTGTTATTCTCGATACTGCTGTGTTTCGTATGGTGAGTGTAGAGGAGACCCCTTTTGCTGGAAACCAATTCCATCTTAGTCCTTAAGAGTGACGATGCATTTTTTTTTTGGATAAGAGTTACAAGCGAGCACACAGTTGATGGTAAGTCATTGCTGTGGCTCATAGACACCTACATCTATCCTCAATTACGAATCAAAATGCAAATGCGTTGTCAGTTGTGAAGACTAAGATAGAATGCCTCTTTTCCAGTAAAAAGGGGCTCCGGTTCTCTACACTCACCATACGAAACACAACAGTGTTAAGCTGCTATTTTACGCGGGTATTCTGTGAGAGCGTGGTCCTTCCACGGTCGAGCCGACCCATACGTGCTACAACTATACTACTAATATAGCTGCAGCATGGATCTACCACGTATTCACGGATGCTGATCATGAGTTCCCGGGTTCAAATCCCGGGTCGTCCCAAAACCAGTTATTGGGATTTTCTATCAATAAATTCTCAGTAGCTGCCCGGAGTCAGGAAGTTGGCGGTGTTTCACCCCCGTGCCTCGGAAATCACGTAAAGCCGTTGATCTTGGATCTCCTTAAATAATGAAAACTAACCCTGTTCTGCGCAGATAGCTAGTTTCCGTTGAGACTGGCCATTGTCACCGAAATTCGGTCTGGAGGACTACTATAATATTATAATAAATTATGAGGTGTATCTGCTTTTGTGCTTGCTCACAGTGTTGTCGTGACCAGTAATTATATCGACACTTAGTTCTATATAGTTCTATATACGCTGTGTTGGTTATAAAAAACAACTTGTTGTTGTTTATAAAAAAAATACGACTGCAAAGAACTAAAAAATTGTATTTTTATCATTTTAAGTAGACTAAGGAATATAAAAATCTTAATGCCGTCTAAGTAGTTACATTAAAAGCATCATTCCCTATTTCACAACCCCTACGGGTGAGTTTTATTTTTTATTAATTTATATAGGACCACTGAAGTATTATAACCTATTTAAAAAAAATCATCAAAACTGATTCATAATTCATAAGACGATATATAGCGTAACATAAATTTAAAAAAATATACAATTGAACTGTAACCCTCCTCTTACAATTACCATTTTGAAATTGGCTTATAAATAAATTTTCCTGTGCTGTGTAAAATATAGGCGCTATACTCGTACTTTAACACTTTATGATATAATTTACTCGTACCGTTACCGTTACAGCCTTTTGAAGTCCACTGATCATTATAGGCTTCCCCCATAGATTGCCTCAAAAGGACGATATTTGTCATAGTTGCCACCCTTGGCAGGCGTGTTAGCAACCGCAGTTTATTTTTATTTAAGTCGTTACTCGTTATAACTCCTGATTTGTTTCCCTCTGTCTTCTCTTACGACACCCACGGGACGGTATGGGGTAGTGGATATTCTTACACCACCACTACATATTATAATATATTTGAAACACAATAATCGTTGAATTAAACCTGTAATTGATATTTCAGGTGCTACCATCTCTACCGGAGTCGCCGTGCTTACGGAGTACGGACAATGGCGCGATTCTTCAGTCTGGGGGAACCATTAGCGGACGGAGGCCTGGGTCCATTCATCAAGAGAGCTCCAGATCGACACATGGTCTTGGGGTTAGTAGTTATTTATACTATGATTCTCAAAGATAAAAAAAAAATCTATTAGTAATTTGAACTCATACCATCAGCAAGCAGTTAAATGTGAAAGGCGAAACATCAATAAAAATCATTTGAAATTAATTGAACTGCAGGGCCCAGGAACAAGATGTTTGTATGACCCACTTATAATAATTGTTATATAAAGGCTATACAAACACCTTATAATGTATGAAAAATGCCTCTAAGATATAGAAAAAACTCCATTCGTAAAGTTTATAATAATAAATAATAATAATAAATTTCTTTAGAGTAATGTCCGATTTTATTAATAATAAACAAAATTGTGCCGGAAATAAGCTTCTCGTATGTCAAGGTGGGAAGGTATACCAGAATGGCAGGCACATGCTATCCATCTAATCTTATCAAGACTAAGCCAAATTCCAAATATATTCATTCAAAATTAAAATTTCAAAAGCACTTTTTGAAAGTAACAATAGTTAGGTCATCGCATCGTTTCAACAAGTCCCTATTGCGGAAGACCATGTCAGAAGAGGCACCAAGAAACTCACAAGTGTCTATTTTTCTCCTAACAGTTGACCTACTTAACTCCTAAAATATATATCCACGAATGAAGAAAATTTTATAAAGTTAATTAAGTCCAAACATTCTTATCTTATAAATAATAAATTATGATTCTCTGAAATCTGGTTTTGATCAAAAACCTAGACTTATAATCAAGAACCGGAAGAAGACAAAATTACTACTTTATGTTATTATAAACGTCGGAAATTAAAAAAAATTAAACGCGATTGAATCCGTAAAAATTAATTTCATTTAATCTTTTTTGCATTAGAGTGCATCATTTCGTCATCATCGTGCATCACATCGTCACCGTAGCTAGTTTTATGTCTGTTATATTTCTAATCTCTCATTCTTAAAATCTCGACAGCAATCTAGTTAATTTTATTTTGTAATTTTAGGATTAATTTTAAAATGTATGCTTTCAGCACTCAAACGTGTATAGATCACGCTCTGCTGGCATGTCAGGGGAATCCGGGGATCTGCGGTCAAGAGAACGGGATCCCTTGCATCGGTCTCATACCAATCTCGACATAAGACAAAACGAAAGTAAGTTCATATTCGAATGAAAAAAAAATCTTATTTATTGCAATTCCTTGATATAGCCTTACGAAAGCATACAACGGCTATTAATAACGCTGTAATATAACATAGACCGTGTAGTGGCAGTGTGAGAATACTCACTACACCATATCGTCCCGTGGGTGACGTAGGATGCGACGGAGGCAAAGAAACTGGGGATGGGCAGCAGCGTCTTCCTAATAACAACTTCCTAATAACCAAGCTTAGCAACTATGTCAAGTATCCCTCGTATAAAGCAATCTATGGAGGGGGCCTTTGTTCAGCAGTTGTAGTATTATTGATAACTCCGTTAGGAATACGCTCGAAATATCAGTAATTGAACAATCCTGCGAGAATATACAAAAGTTCCTCATCTATTAACTTACTCTACGTGCGCATTATAGTTTTAATGTTGTAAGAATTTGACTTGAACTTCTCAATTTTAGCGTATATACTTTTATTTACGATGAGTATCTTATTTGATTTTATTCGACGAATACGGAAAATTATCATCATAAATCGCTTATGTCACTTTATTACTTGCTTAGTCAGGTATATTAAAATAAAACGGCTCCGTGGTGCAGTGGCTTAGTAATGAGTTGCAGCGCTGAGGACCACGGGCTTGAATCCCGCATGGAACAAGTATTTGTATGACCTACAAATAATTGTTCCAAGCGTAGATGTTTATTTATCCTTGTGAAACTAATTTATGAAAACTGGCGCCACGGTACAGAAAAAATCATGAAGCATGAAAAGAATATAAAAAACAATTTCCAAGTAACCATTTATTTGTTACAAATGGAAACACGCTTCCCATGTTGTGTTTGAAATTGATACAATGATTTTATTTAAATGCAACGTATTCTGGTTGCGCATTGATGCTAACGTAGCTAGAACTTCTGTCCATTTAAGAATAACTAAATTATTATTTTATGTTATTAAGATAAGAATATTGTTTTTGATCACATGTTGAAATTCCAGATGGTAGTATAGGCAAAAGGTTCGATTCAGAACCTGATCTGAGAATAGAAGAGGAACAACAAATTCAAAGAAATAATAACAAGCACTTTCGTAAAAAATATCGTGCACCTCCACCGCCTAGCAACGATGTAAGTATATTTTCATTATAATCAAAGTTATTCATATTTTTCTTTAGTTTTATGAAACATTATTTCTTATATTTTCAGCGTCGAGGGGGTTCATCGCCAGATTCCAGCGTCGGGAATGCGAGATCAGAACCCCAAAGAAAACTTAGGCTATTTAAAACACGTAATGAAACTAAAAAAATAAATAGACATCCAGACTCGAAAATTCCTACTATTAGGAACACGTACACTGATTTTAAGTCCCTAGATATTAATGATCAGCCATTCGAAAGGAGATACAAATCTCAATGTAAAAATAAGGATCAGCATTTGAACTATCCCGACAACAGGGACATGGTACAGAGTTCAGTATCATTAAAAAGGGAAGAGCGATTATTACAATGTAGAAACGATTCGAAGAAAACGAGAACAGATGTAGTAAGTGGATGTAAAGCAAAAACGTCGAAGAGTAATGAACAAAGCGAAGCATGGAAGACACCTCTTCTAGACAGAAACTTCAGATACTCTGAAAGATTTAAAAAGGATGACAGCGATCATTCAACGTTAAGAAGAGAAAAAACGTTTGATAATTCTTTGCTCGAAAGGAATCGAGAAAACAGTTCATCTAAAAACATATTCGAAAAAGGGTTAAAGACCTTAGGAGAACAAAAGAAACTCAGTCCACTTGCCGAGAGTAGCAAACCACTGAGAAAATCTCTTCCTTCATTATTACCGAGAAATGAAGAAAAAGATGAATTTCAAGCGGAGCTTAAAAAGGCTACAAGTAGAATAAGAAATGAATTAGGGAATAAACTTAATATAAGTGAAAACAAAACTAGTCAACTTAATAAATTCAGCGTAGAAAAACCAAACCCAACGAAAACTCCAGTCCAGACAAAAGTCAAAGAATCTAGTCTTAAAACAGACATTGTGCACACAAAACAAGACTCAAAAATTACAAATGTCCGAAGGCCTTTATCTAGGACGAATGAAGTTAAGTCTAATTTGTCGATATCACAAAGCAAAACTACTAAAAACAACGACAGATTCAATACTAAGGAAAATAATCGACCAATGCCAGATAGAGGTCAAGCTTCTGGGAAAGAATCTACTCCAGAACATTCTCCGACTAGGAAAAGGGAATTTACAACTAACATCTCACAACAAACGTAAATAGTTTGCTATTTTTAATGTATATTATATTTCAATAACATTACTTAAATAGCAGCATCTTGCTGATTATAAGTTAAAATGATAAAAACCTGCGGTTGCCACTCCACCTGCCAAGCATGGCTACTTTGACAAATAAAAAATAAATGCCAATTTGGGTGGGCCCAAGTAAGCGATCTATGTTATATAAGGAGAGGCCTATGTTCAACAGTGGACTTTGACAGCCTGTAGTGTTAATCATGAATTCGTTTATTAACAAGATTTTTACACAATACAGCTTTAATTCTTCTTGATTTTTTACCAAAAATAATTAAATAATATATTTATAAATGGAATATTTCAGGAAAAAAACAGCACCGTCAAAACAGTTCTATTTTGGAATGATTGAAAGCAAACAAATAGAACCCAAGGACCGTCTCAAAGACTTCCCAGGATTAGGCAGTCCAATAATCGAAGAACTAAATAACTTCCATTTGATAGAACAGAAGTTGCTCAATTACCATGATGATGACGCAGAGCTAGAGAAGTTCAACGAGAAGTTTAAAGAAGATTGTAAAATAAGAAATAGTAAGTACTTATTTTAAATATCGAAAATAACTACATGACAGCAATTTTTTGTGTATTGTAATTTCTCTCGCCCTCTTACTTCTATTTTAGATCTAAAAGTATATAAATTAATTTTGATTATTATTAACAAAATTCCTCACTTTGTTAATAATATTCCCATTATATAAACATAAATCTAATTCTTTGACACCTTCTGCTTCTAGTATCATCAGAGTCAGCACTTTCATCGGAAGGATCTGAAGGCGAAGGTTCTGATGGATCGCTGGGTATTGCACTAAGGCTAAGGCCTACGTTGCCTAAGAAACAAACGTCAATATCTCATTTCTCACCATCAGCTGCATGGCGGCAGCTTGCCAGTTTAGATGCGCATCTTGCGTCTGGTAAGTATTAAATATTATCAAATATATTTTTTACTTCCCTTCTACTTAAACGACAATTATAAAATATCTAAAACTATCGCCAAATAAAATAAATGACCAATTTCAAGTCCTTTGACAATTTTTGATAAAAATCAGTGAAAAATATTCAAATACAATCACACTCATACTTATTATGCAGTTACAATAGAGTCTATCCAACTACAGTACATCAATAAAATTCAGTATTTGGTAAAGATTAATTAAATTGTTAGTACTAGCTTATGTTATTAAAAACTTATAGTATTAATACTTATCACTCTCCATTAACTTATCTTAAATACTTGTAATTTTTTTAATTTTTTAATGAACAACAGAAACCCAGCCGCTAGCAGTGGAAACAAAGATGTCAGGTGACATATCGGCGGAATCATCTCCGCGCTCCGATCCATCAGCAGATAAGTCAGGCGACTCTGGCATATCCGGCGATCATGCTCACAGTGACCACAGGATTGATTCTCCGTCCAGGCATCATGTGAGGAAATGCAAATATAGTTTTTTTTTTTTAATTCAGCTTTTTGTTCTGCCATTGTTCAGTTTATTTGAAAAGTTAGAATAAACTTACAACCTATTTACGTCCCACTGCTGGGCAGAATCCTTCTCTCATTTCTAAAAGATTCCGGAGAAATTAATCCGCCATGATGACTCATTTCGGTTTGGCAGAATTCACACATTCTTGAAATATTTTATTTCTCTCGTATGCAGTTTTTATTATGATGGGTAAAAAGAGCCGGGGTAGATCTAGTACAACTAGAGACAACAAGGCCGGTACAGTTCCCAAACAACCAATTTCCGATCCCCGCCGGCACTATTCAAACTCTTAATTCCAAAATTAAGTGCTGATTTACTACGTGCTCGGCAGTTCATTTGATATCAGATAATTCAGAATTGGAACATTTACATTTTCATCCGTTTCAAAATGATAATGTTATCCGTAGCCCTTACTAATTGCTTTTTCCTTTCTTTTATGGAATAATTTCTATGCAAATTGAATGAAATGTACCTTAGCATGACACCTTGTGGTAACATTATATAAAATTAACTTCTTTACGGGCATTTCAATTTTTAGGATGGCATAAAGTCATGAGGAAAAAAATATTTACAGAACTATCGTCGTCGGCCTTTCTCAGTCTGCTGCAGGACAGGCTTTTAAGAATGCATCAACATTTCTTCAAGGAAACACCTATATCCTATACTCACCACACTGACCAAATTTAATATGTACTTAAACCGAGAAAGTCTCAGAGAAAAAATTGAAAAAATAAATATATTAACTTTGCCTCTCAGTATATTTACGAACATTTAATGTATGTTCACAAAAACAAAAGTAGTTTTAATAAAAACGTGATATCCACAATGGTAAACACTATGAACAAACACAAGCTAGTGATACCGGTCTCTCGAGACCACAGAGTCAGTTGGGGCAATGTACACGCAATTACAACAAAGTCCCAGAAAATATACAAGAGCTCTCTACTACCAAGTTTAAATATTTTACTAAACAAAAACTGTATAAAAAGAGTTATTATATTACATCAAGAGAAATTTTGTAAATAGTTTGTACAACTTTCATGTTATATAAATTACTTTTTTAAATCCTGCTGGTATTCTTGCTGGTTCTTCCCAGGGCAAAGGTTTTTTCCGAATCAGTGGTAAAGGAAAAAAAATACGTTAATTATTAATTATATGTAATCAATCTACATTGAATAAAAATTATTCTATTCTATTCTATTCTATCCTAAAGTAACTGATGTAATTTAGATAGGAGACGCCGTTGGTGCGACGTGGACTCCGCAGCAAGACCTAGGCGACAGCAGTTCGGACGGTGCGGGGGGTGCGGGCGGTGCGGGGGGCGCGGGGGGCGCGCCGCTGCCCGCCGGGCTCGGCGTCGCTACCTATAGCCCTGGCGCTCAGCCCTTCAGCCTCTCGCTGCCCAGAGAACACCAGGAAAAGGTTGGCTCACGGATAGTGAAAGCGCGCGGGATGTTACGGCCTTTAGCGATCTGAGATGCCATTTAACACTATCGACTAAAGAAATAAACAATATAAAATAATACTTAAAATTCTGAATAAATTAATTTATTTAATTTTACAAATATAGGTAATGCAAAATGTAATAACAAATACATAGCAAAGATTCTATCATATTTTGTCATTAGGCATAAAAAATAATATAATTAATTACATTATTTTTATCAATTTACACATATACGAGTATATCATTCGCAAAACAATAGTGTCTATTCAAATTACGTATAAGTCTAATAAGTCCATTGGTACATAATCATAACTATTATTAAATTATTCTAAACCTTCGTCAAATTAATTACATTTTAATTAAAAAAACTTTCAATTTATAAATATATATATATATTTTCTCTTTTTAAAAAAGTCACCCCCACACTAGGATTTTCTCCTGTGTCATGGAGGCAGTTTACAAACATAAATTGCACAAGGACAACCATCCAGATCCGGAACAATTATTTGTAGGCCATACAAATACTTGTTCCGTGCGGGATTCGAACCCGCGGCCCTCAGCGCAACAACTGATAGCTAAGCCACTGCGCCACGGAGCTGTCAAATGTATGCCTTATCATTAAACGTACAAACTTGACTGACTGACTGGCTATAATAAATACTTCTTTTGAGTTATATAAAACAAGTAACGAACCGCGTTTTTATACTAGTAAAGTGAAAAACGAGCACACCGGCCGCCTGATGGTAAATTGATGTCATAAATACTAAAAATATATTCACGTCAAGCTGAGGTACCTCGGAGAAGCGAGCAAGCTATTGGACTTTGACCCACAGCGATGTCTTCATTTTGCTCTCGAATGTAGTGATCAGGTGTATCCTGATTTAGGTGCCTGTGGTTATAGACTATTATTATAATTATCTTCACCTACAAAATTCGATTGCTGGACATGGACCTTTCCCATCTTAGGGTAGATTTGCCTTAATGGTCACGCTTGACAGACAATCGCAGTCCAGAAGTTTAGCGCCTGTGACGCTACCTGCAAGGAATCTATCTCCCCATTTCCTAACGTGGGTGTCGTAAGAGGCAACTTGGAACAATGTTCTAGTAAAGTAGTTCCGTCATCTATTGGGATCCAGTAAAGAACTGGATGACGGTGTATCACTGTGATGGCTTTATTGAATCCTAATTTTCCACACACTTAGCATTAAAAAAATATGGTAATCTGCTAGTCTTCTTTTAGTGTCAACCAATAAATTTCAAATAATTTGTAAATTACCAAACAAACCAATATCATTCTACTACCTTAGTAACTATTCAACAAACCACTAATTTTCGAGTAGCCCGCCCCTAATATATAATAGAAATTTATAAAATATGTATGGTATATATTACATTAACTCTATAGATTTTTTTCAATTTTTAACAAAGTGCTAAACCATCTCAGATACGTTAATTTAAAAAACTAAAATATTATGAATAGAGTGATATAAAAGGGTTTACCTAACTAACAATAATTGTGACTAACAAACTAATCCCGCCTAACCTCCCGCGCGCGCTGAGGAGGAGTAAAGGGTAAAATTGCACGCATAGTAATGAACTTGTATTGCTTGTCTCTAAGAATGAACTTGTACTGCTTGTCTTTAATAATTAACTTGTACTGTTCGTCTCTAACAATTAACTAGTACTGCTTGTCTTTAATACTGAACTTGTATTGCTTGTCTCTAATACTGAACTTATACTGTTTGTCTCTAATTATGAACGTGTACTGTTTGTCACTAATAAATAACTAGTACTGCTTGTCTCTAATAATTAACTTGTACTGTTAGTCTCTAATAATTAACTAGTACTGCTTGTCGTTAATATTGAACTTGTACTGCTTGTCTCTAATACTGAACTTGTACTGCTTGTCTCTAATAATGAACTGTTACTGTTTGTCTCTAATAATGAACTTGTACTGTTCGTCTCTAATAATAAACTTGTACTGCTTGTCTCTAATAATGAACCGGTACTGCTTGTCCCTAATAATTAATTTGTACTGTTAGTCCGTAACAATGAACTGGTACTGCTTGTCTCTTGGTGTATTTTTAATTAAACAACTAGAAATATGTATATACAGTCATTTCTCTTGGCAAAGTAAAAACTTATTTTTTGCATGTTTAGGTGTTAAATTATTGAAATTTCATTAGTTATGTTAAATTTTAATTGTTTGTGAACCGGCAATAAGAAGCACAAGTGTATTTACAGATTTCATAACTATAACTTTAAGACTACACAAAATGGTTTTAACTATATTTTTTATAAATTTCTTGAGATTCAATTTCCTGCTGCATATACGGTTTTTCTAAAATAATTTTCAATCGTTTTATTATTTCTAGTGTTAAACTTTTTATTATTCCGCTTTTCTCTATTCCTATAATGCAAAAAAAAACATGAGGGTATTTATCACTGATGATGCACCCAAAAAAATACAATTTTATCATTATTCCTCATCAGCTAGCAAGTAACAAGAACTGTCTCAACTTTGCGTAGTGTAAAGGCATGTCGTGTTTTTATGAATGCTTTCAGGGCAAGCAACTGCAGCAAGGTTTCAACAGTCTTCAGAAGCTGAGGAAGTCGGTGTCAGGGGCGTTGGGCGCTGCTTTGGGTTCCAGAAGATTTGACCTGGAACACGAGCCAATGCCCGAGGAGCCTGAACAGAACTGGTTCTTGACGAAATCCGCACCTAACTCGTTGAGCAATCCACTGCTCTTCCAACCACTGAGGTCGAAAGGATCTCTCGACGATGATATTAAAGAACAACCAGGTCCTACGGAAAAGGTGTCTATCGTTTTTGCATACAAAGAAGCCCAGAGCAACTAATAAAAATATACGGAGCGCTGCATACATTTCGAAAAAAAAGGCACTTATTATGTATCTAAAATCATTTGCACCCAATACCTTGGTTTAGGTACATATGTGTACGTCCACCGGCGACTGTGACTGTTATAAGAAGAGTTGAGATTGGGAAGATAATATGTGCGTGAGCGCGTGTTAAGTAGTTAAGCATGGTGTCCGCGTTATCTGAAATTTACGCAGCGCTCTGTTTATAATTTATTGTGGGTCTGAGCCTACAAGTAAAAAGTTACGTTACGTCTCACTGCTGGACACAGGCCTCTTCTCCGTGTTTTATAGGTGTATTGAAAGATATTTGAATATATTATGAATATTATGGATTAAGTAGTGCCTTTGTACGAACTTACCATATTATTTTTCTTATTTTTTAAAAAAACGTTACCCCCACACTAGGATTTTCTCCTGTGTCGTGGAGGCAGTTTACAAACATAAATTGCACAAGGACAAACATCCAGACCCGGAACAATTATTTGTAGGCCATACAAATACTTGTTCCGTGCGAGATTCGAACCCGCGGCCCCCAGCGCAACAACTGATTGCTAAGCCACTGTGCCACGGAGCCGTCAATTGTTATTGTTTCTGTATTTTGGGGTTATTTCTATTTGATTAAATAAACCGTTAAACAGACTAGGTTTTTGGAACAAAGTTCATTATCGGACGGTACGGGTTTGGCGGATGGGAGCTAGGCGACAAAAAGTGTAAGATTTTTTCGTCACTACCCCTTGTGTCATAGTGTAGACGGCCTTGGCGGCGAAATAAGGAAGTAAGATAGAAAAATATCCATCTCCCTCGCACTCTTTCTTATCTTGCCATGAAAGAAATATTATTTTATTTCAAATGACGCTTCATTTTAATAGACGCTAGTAATTCATTTATTTGTATTTGTTAATCAATAATATAATACCTACGTTTATCAATAATAATATACTACGCAAGGAACTTCGTTCCAACCGAGTGTTCCACGACACTCACGCATTTTTTTCTCCTGTATCATGGAGGAATTTAATATAGTCACATAAGTTGCACAAGGATAAACATTCAGATCCGGAAAAATGATTTGTAGGCCATTTCTTCGTTTGTTTCGGTCTGTCTGTAATATTGAAATGACTGGTTTCTATTAAGCTCAGAGGGATATTTGAATTCTAATGAGTTATAAGTAAACATTTTTAAAATGTTTGGCTGTCTGTCTGTCTGTCTGGCTAGTCTTCGGAACTGCTGAACCTATTGTGATGGAACTTTACTAACAGCTAGAGAGCAGCGCAAGGAATCCCTCCTAGGCTTTATTATTATTGAAAAGCTTTTTTAAATTATTTTCAAAGACGACGAAATGATAAAATAAATGGTCTTGGATTACTTTTAAAATATCTCATCCTATAATTAATAAATACTAAACATTTAATTTAATTAAAATAAAAGATTTACGTGACATGCGTGCTTATAGGGGGCTGCAAGTGGGTGGCGAGCTGGTAGCTCGTACGTATCGTGGGGGGGCCATGTCATGTACCTGCCCCCCGCTGCGCAGCCGCACTCCATGCCCGCGCTCGACCGGCCCGTCAGGTACGTACAGTTCACACACTCACTCACATCATACACTCGCTCACATCATACACTCTCACTATAACTACGCACTACATGCCCGCTCTCGAACGGCGCGTCAGGTATGTACAGTTCACACACTCACCCACATCACACACTCGCTCACATCACACACTCTCACTATAACTACGCACTCCATGCCCGCTCTCGAACGGCGCGTCAGGTACGTACAGTTCACACACTCACCCACATCACACACTCGCTCACATCACACACTCTCACTATAACTACGCACTCCATGCCCGCTCTCGAACGGCGCGTCAGGTACGTACAGTTCACACACTCACCCACATCACACACTCGCTCACATCACACACTCTCACTATAACTACGCACTCCATGCCCGCTCTCGAACGGCGCGTCAGGTACGTACAGTTCACACACTCACACACTCGCTCACATCACACACTCTCACTATAACTACGCACTCCATGCCCGCTCTCGGATGGCGCGTCAGGAACGTACAGTTCACACACTCGCTCACATCACACACTCTCACTATAACTACGCACTCTATGCCCGCTCTCGAACGGCCCGTCAGGTACGTAAAGTTCACACATTCATCTCTCGCATCACTCCACTCAGACATTACACACACTCACTATAAATATGCATTCCTTGTCCACTCTCGAATGGCCTGTCAGATACGTACAGCTCACTCATTCACTCCCTCTCACCACTCCACTCACACAAATATCATACACACTCACTATAACTATTCACTCCATGACCGTATCCGAGCGGCAGTATGATTAAATTTTTATAGTTCACATAAATCAGTTACGAGGATGTGTAGCGGGCGAAATCGAAGAATTCGTTTTATGGGAATTTTTCTCCGAATTGAAATCCTTCTGCGGAAAGTTATTCAAATTTATTACTACGTGAACATAGAGTTCTATAGAACATTAACATGGCGCGTGATTGAACAGGAGCAAGTCGAGCGGGTGCCTGGAGGCTGCGGCGAGGGCTGCCCGGGCGGCGCTGGCGGGCGAGATGCGCGAGCGGGAGCGCTCGGCCTCGCCCGACGTGGCCCGCGCCGTGCCAGCCGCCGTGCGACCAGCTGCGCGACCAGCCAACGTAAGTACCTACACCGCTTAGATACAGCACTGCAACGGTTTTATAGACATTCCCGCACGAAACAGGTGTTTGTATGACTGCTGAACTGTGTCCTTGAATGTAAACCGCCCCTACGATACAGATGGAAATACTAATGAGGAGATAACATTTGAAAAAACTACAATGTAGATACTATGTTTTATTTTATATTTTAAATGTATTTCTAACATACATTATATATAACCATGTCCAATACAATAATTCGTTGAAAATTATAATGCCTCGGTATTATAGCGCATCTGGCATTTTTACAGGGGCTCATGTTGATGGGTTTGAAGCCATAATGCGCAAAAGATGTGCCTCCATGCTGAATCGCATGCGGACGAGCACCAACATCATTCTCAGTATACTAGCAGACAGATGGGATTCACCAATGTTAGGGTGTTGGGTAAATCTGCATACTGTAAATTAGACACGCCACGACCTAGTAGTACTTTAATTTTAATTTTATTTAATGTTTAATTTTGTTTAATGTTATAGGTATTTAGATTATGATTTTTTATCAAATATGGAAAATTGGTCGGAAATAAATGAATTTATATATAAAATATATATATAAATTTTAGCTTTCTGCACCCCTTCTCCATATAAACTTTAACTGTGCCAAATCTCACACTCTGTCGTGTGTGAAATATGCTACATGGGTACAAAGTTTTCTCTTCACCTATAAATATATAGACAAATAAAAAATAAAAATAATTAAAGGTGAAAAACGAGCACACGCGCCACCAAATGGTAAATGGATACCGCAGCCAATAATCACCCACCTAATTATCCTTGATTATGAATCAAACGACGTGCATTGTCACTCCTGTGTACCCACACGAAACACAACAGCAATATGTTACTACTTCACGGTAGTATTCTGAGCGATCGTGATCTCATTCATGCATCGCGTCATTCTTGCAGCTATCATGATACACTGCAGCATGGCTTTACCCCTTAAAGTAGAATCATACGCCACGTATTAAGTTAATGATAAAGGCAACGCTGCAAAACAAAAACACAACAAAAACGCTACGAAAACGAATAATAAATTTTTAAGTGTCAACCTATAGTTTGAGCAGATATAGAAAATTCCTAATAGATTTTTTTTAAATAAAGATGAATTACACAAGTTTCCTCACAAAATTACCGTTCACATTAGTGTCAAAAATAATAATTGCTTGACGTAATTTTAGCAGAGCCGGCTTGCTCTAATTTTTGCGACTATTATACAAATTAAAGCATGCGCGCAGTTTCAAAATTATAACATTTCTATCATTATATTAAGTAATTAAGACTTCCCACTGCAAGCCACACTCATTTACCTAACTCTGAGAACGTAATGAAGCAGATTTTGCCACCGCCCTTTGTGTGAGTTGACGTACTTCACACGCCCTCATTACTTAGTACTCAGACATGCACATATCTTGATATCTTTTATACGTGTTATAGCCACGCTGCAGCTGATTTGGGCAGGTGCTAAGCGGTGGAGTAAAACTAGAAGATTTTTTTCATAGAAGAAGGGTGACAAATGAGAACACAGTCCACGTGATAGTAAATGAATGCTGTGGATACATCATGTATTATGATGAATGTATATGGATACATCTACATTTGTCCTAAAATACAGATGCTGAAAATGCTTTTGCATTTTAGGATTTACCTTAACTACTAAGACGATATGCCTCGTTTTCAGTAAAAAGGCTCTCTGGTTCTCTACACTCACTATATGAAACACAGCAGTTACTGCTGCTATTTTACGCTGGTATTCTGTGAGAGCGTGGCGAGGCGACCCATTCGTGCTACATATAATATACATAATTACACTCACTATAAAAACACAGCGGAATTAAGCTACTGTTTTACGCTAGTATTCTGTGAGAGCGTGGTCTCTGATCGAGCAGACCCATTAGTTCTTTATCTATAATATAGCTGCAGCATGGCTCTACCACGTATAATCAGATAGATGGTGTAAACGTCTAGTTTACACCAGACTTAAGTAGCCAGACTGGCAACGGGCAACGTCGTCAAAGTTGCAAGACATACATAACGGTTAAGGAGAAATCCAAGATCTCTTTTCAACGGGAGAGCCATATTGAGCCGTGGACTTTGACAGGGTGATGAAAAAGAAAAATAAGAGCACACATGTCAACTTTTCAAATTACCTACTTCACCTTTATACATACATTGCCTCATAGGAAGAATATATAATCACAGTTACCACGCTTGGCAAGCAGGTTGTCTTAATGCTGTTGTTTCTTATTGTGGATGTAGAGAACCGGAGATCCTTTTGACTGGAAACGAAGCATTCCACATTAGTCCTCAGGCGTGACTACGCATCTGCATTTTGTTTCTCAATCCACGTCCGTGATCACAGCATCCACTTACCATCAAGTGGACTGTGTGCTCGTTTGTCACCTTTATTCTATATAAAAAACCGCAGTTTTTATTATTTTCAGTTGTTAATCAGGAATATGACTACCCATCTCCCATTTCATTCCCTATTCCTTTCACCTCACTATATCCTATTCCGATAAAAAACAACTAAGCATGAAAGCTGCAGCATGGCTATGCGTGGTAGATCCATGCTGCAGCTATATTAATAGTATAGTTGTAGCACGAATGGGTCGGCTCGACCGGGGAACGACCACGCTCTCACAGAATACCAGTGTAAAATATCAACTTAAATCCGCTGTGTTTCGTATGGTGAGTGTAGAGAACCGGAGACCCTTTTTACTGCAAACGAGGCATTCCATCTTAGTCCTCACGGGTGACAACGCATCTGCATTTTGATTCGCAAACGTGGATAGATGTAGATGTCTATGGGCCGCAGCAACCACTTACCATTAGGTGGACTGTGTGCTCGTTGGTCACGCTTATACTATAAAAAAAAGCGTTACGTCCTAAACTCATTTCCAACTGTCTGTTAAATAGTTACATCACACGATCTTAATTTCCTCAACTTGGCGATACACGTAAGCACACATTTCCCACGACTCACCAACTTCAATTAGCACAGACATGGCTTCGCTTCCGGGCCTTTTTTGGGTCGTGAGATTGTTCAAATTGCAACACACAAAGGACTTTAATTTGTCAATGTCCTGCCATGACATTCGCTATTCATATAGTAATAAATCCTTGCTGCAATTGAATTAGGAGCGCTAATTACGAAGCGCTATTTGAACTACATTTAAATGATGAGTTTGAACGAATATTACGTCCTTACTCATACAATCCATTTCAATGAAAAATGCTTAAAATTACGCTCTCTCTCTCTCTCTCTCTTTTCACTAAATGGCAATAAAGGCAAGTAAAGAATTTTATGGATTAAAAATGTTAAAAATTAATTAGCTAATATCCGCACAATAAAATAAAATGCTATGTCTGTGCTTTTCAAACTACTAGTTTGAACGGCACCTGCCGGTTTACCTCAATTGAGTACACTACCCCCGTCAGCACTAATACTAACACCACCATACTAGGAAAAACACACCGCCGTCGATACGTGTTTCGCCGCGCGTGGAATAGACTGCGGTCTATTTCACGCGCGGCTAGCACTATTCCTATTAGTGGCTAAGTCAGCCACGCTGCAGCTATATTATAGACGAAGAACGAATGGGTCTGCTCGATCGGGGACCACGCTCTCACAGAATACTAGCGTAAAACAGCAACTTAATTCCGCTGTGTTTTGTAGACCCCTTTTTACTGCAAATGATGCATTCCATCTTAGCCCTCAGGGGTGATAACGCATCTGCATTTTGATTATTAATCGAGAATATATATATATATATATATATATATATATATATAATGTGTAAAAAGAGTTCGGTTCTCGACAATTCTCTCCGCTTCTCGGTCTCGTTTGTCAAAAAGCGGATTAAAAAATTACAAAAAGCAAACATCACACACACTTCTCATTTTATGTACAGTCCAGCAGTTACACAAAGCCATCAGATTCAGCAATAGAATGAATGCGTTCAATCAATTTACCCACCATTAATAGTCCGCTGTCGTGCGGCTGAGGACACTAACATGCTCATTTCAAGGGTACACGAGATATACATGATATTTTTCGTGTTCTATTTATGCCAATGGCCTGACCGTGCCGTGTAGTTAGTTAAAGCCACGCAGTTTTTTCTTCACAAAATGAAACTTAGTAATTAATTAATAGAATCAGGCGTTACTTTGCGGAAATCCATTATATAAAAGCTTTTAGAAAAATTTACTTCGCAAATATCCGCGTTATAAAATAAAATGATGTGTCTTACCTAGTATGAAGAGCACCTCCCGCCCTCCCTCAATCATTTTATTTTATAACGCGGATATTTGCGAAGTAAATTTTTCTAAAAGCTTTTTTAAACTTAGAAATTATTCCCGTAATAAAATGTCGTACTTACTACATTATTCATACTCCTAACATATGGGAGCCGTAGTTATATGTATAGATTACACAAAAATTACTATTATTTATTTAAAAATTTAGCTTATTTTTTCTAATATTATATAATATATACTACACAGATTAAAAGAAAAGTGTAATTTATTATACTAATTTCGATTACAATACAATATTTAAAATGGACCAAATTAAAATTACCCTTAACCGACGAGCATGTATGCTTAAGTTGATGGATGTGGAAGAAGCGAGAGAGGTGTGTCAGTGGTTAGGATCGTGCAAAATGGAAGTCCATAGTACATGCCCTCTGGGCGACAGGCCTGAGATTTTATGTTTATGTTTAATTTATATTACACTAATTAGTAAAGTAACGTATTGTATGAAGTTATAAAGATCACACTTAAATATAAGACAAACGATAAAAAATCACTAATCCATCGAACTAGTCGACGACTCAGTGACTAAACATTTTGCTGCTGCGCTGCGCTCCGGCTTCGGGGTTGGGATCCCGCACGGAACACATATGTGTATTTTCTATAAATAACTATCCCGTGTCTGGATTATTCATCTACATCATCATTACGCCTCTTCACAAGTCCACTGCTGAACATAGGCCTCCCCCAAAAAGTGCCGCACAATATGGTTGTTGCGATTTGAACGAGAACCTTTTTTATCCATCGGTTTTTCAAGCTATATGGGCAGCCCATTGCCACTTCAGCTTACTGATCCATTGGGCTATGTCGGTTACTGTTATGTTGGTGGCTTTACTGTGGATATCCTCATTATGATGTGAGTCAGGCAGGGAAACTCCAAAAGCCCTCTCCGTAGCTTGCTGAGCAATTTTGAGTTTTCTCATACGGCAACCCACGGCCCCACTTACACTCAACATTACATTAACTCTACGGGGTTGCCGCTCCCACTCGAGAACCTTCCTTTTTCTCTGGATGTTTGTCCATGTACAATTTATGTAGATATGTAAAACGGCCCTACTATTTAGGAGTGAACTATGTGGGTAACATTTCTTATAGAGAGACCTAAATGGAGAACGATATTTTTTCTTTGCTACGCGGCAAAATGTAGATAGATTGAATTTATGATTTATTACAAAAATTTTGAACCTTAAAAAACTTACATCAGTGTTAATTTAGTAATACGTAATAACATAATTTACATCTCAACAAAGAATCTTTTTACATAACATGACACTAAAGCTTAGTTCAAACTGTTTCGATTTTTTTTTAACTTTCATTTTCATTAAATTATTGTTTAACAATTTATAATAATATATCACATTTTGAAACGCAATAAACGATTTTTGATTTTGATTTTGGCATATAAAAGCAAAGTTTCCCAAAAATTATTTTCGGAAAGTGACAGGTAAAGGAAATGTCTCGAAAATTGACTGACCTTTGACAAAAGAAAAATCTAAGGTGCCTATGCGTCCGCGCTTTTAATGTATCGAGTATATACCAATTGTGACTGTTTTGGAAATTTATCTTAACATGATAATACTTTGAACTTATGCTTCTCCCATTTTTCCCCTATCAGCCCGGTTCCCTACTTTTCTAATCCAGAACGGGCCTGCGATTGCTCTGTTATCACACCATCGTTTTGGAGGTCTCCCCACACTTCTTTTTGTCAAATAATATCTCCAAGTTAATATTTTTTTCCATTCTGTGTAAATATTTTAAAGTTTCTGCGACAGAAATGTCCAGTCCAAGCCCATTTGAGCCTTGTTATTCTATTTTCATGTCATGTCAATTACTTTTGTTTTTTCTTATTATGTCAAGCAAAGATATTCCGGGCGTACAGCGTTGTGATATTTTAAGCCGTAGTAAAAAATGCGTGTGTGAAGTGATGTTTAGTGGGATGTGCGGATGGTGGGAGGCGCCGCGTCGTCTCCGCACGTGCCCTACCCGGCGCCCACCTGTAGCTCAGTTAATGTGCCCATTTCGTTAGTATAGTGTGTGTGCAAAAGCGGTGCCAGGTTTGTTTTGAGTTTGTAATTTACCTTACTCTATCGCATAATATATTATTTTGTATATTAGATTCCCTTTATGTACGCGAAAAAGTTGTTTAGTAATTATTATAGAGATTGTTTATCCTAAATTTAATAGTGAACTACATATTAATTAATTTGAAAAAAAAAATCAAGAAATATTTTAACACAATTGTTTTCACATATTAAGTATTTTTAAGTTAAATGATTAAATCATTTAATTAGTTATGCTAGGAGTATTTTGGAATAGCGCAAAAATGATTTTTTTTTTAATATCCGTGGCACTTATCTGTTGTTTTTATCGTTCCAATAATACTGTTATAAACTGAAATAATTTATGTAATTTATTATGTAAATGAATTAGAAATATTATTGGATATTTAGAAAATAACAATAGTATTAATGTTTGCACAATCCTATTTCGTGTCATTTGATGAATGTCAATTCAAAGGTATTGTAAAATATATTTTATTCAGTTCAGACTTATTCAATGCTTTGAACGGTAAAAATGCGAGATTTGAACCTGCACATGTAATTAACGACATGCGTAGGCACACATGTACATCTTATCTTATCATGCTTACATCACACCCTAATTAGGGGTGTAAGTCACAAGTTGTAGATTATATTAAATAGAAAAATCTATTAACTTTAGGGTTGTCTATAAGACTTATTAAAGTTAAAAAAGTAAAGTTGCAGCCTATATACGTCCCACTGCTGGGCATTAGCCTCTTCTCATTACTGAATGGGTTTTAGGGCAAGGAAATGTCCACCGCGCTGCCCCAATGCATGTTGGCGAACTTCACATGTCTTCGATATATATTTTTTTTATTTCTCAGACATGCTGGTTTCCTCACGATGTTTACCTTGACCGCGGAGCACGTGGTAAATCAGCATTTAAAATTGCATTTAACAATTTCATTGGTACCGGCGGGGATCGAACCTGGGTTGCTCGCGTACTGTGATGTGCTACTGTGAATATACAGCGAGTACCATCTGAGCTACCACGGCTCTTCACAAGACTTATTGATGTGCCTTAATTAGTATTATAAATAATAAAAACCTTTCCAAATGTATATAATCGATTTCCATTTATTGGGTTGTCTACAACACTTGATTTTTTTGTTTTTGTTGAAAAAAGAAGATCTCCTGTATCGTGAACATGTTTTAGATACGAAATTTGCACACGCACAAACATTCAAACCGGAATAACTTATTATGATTTTTGTCACTTAGTGAAACCACGCCATAATTTATATAATATAATTGACCGCTAATAGTGTAATATTATGTAGATTACATATTTCACATAATTTTTTTTATTGGGATGATGTCGATATTTGAAACCGGCCGGAATTTGTTTTTACAGCATAGTGTGACAAACGAGCACACAGTCCATCTGATGGTAAGTGGTTGCTGTGACCTATACACATCTATCCTTAATAAAAAATCAAAATGTATTTGTGAGGACTAAGATGGAATGCCTCTTCTCCAGTAAAAAGGGTCTCCGGTTCTCTACACTCACCATACGAAACACAGCAGTGTTAGCTGCTATTTTACGCTGGTATTCTGTGAGAGCGTGGTACTTCCCCGGTCGAGCCGACCCATTCGTGCTACAACTATACAATGAATATAGCTGCAAAAATATTTGTAGGCATTGCAAACATTTTCTTTTGTGGAGTCTTTTAGGAGAAGCCTATGTTAGTTAAGCAATGGACCTTGTGAAAGACTGTAATCTTTGAGCCTATTTGAGTCTGTAATGATGATGATGATGATACAAAGACTGATCACGTGCGGGATTCGAACCTGCAACTCCATAGCGTCTCAGTTAACGATAATACACTGCGCTTCTGAAGCGTCAACGTTAACTTCTTAATGTTCTTCTAATTTAAAAAAAAATAGTTGCCAAATAACACAATCTCGATTTACCACACCTTACCAGGAAAGCAGCATGAGAGAGTGCATTGCTATATAAATGAGATGCGCAAGTAAAAGTGCTTCCGCAAAAATGTTTGTTAAGATATAAATTATGCATGAGCGAGTTAAGCGGACACTACATACCACTTCACCGTAACCGTAGTAGCAATTTTAGTAGTTCCTGTTACTGTCTTGGGAATTACGTAAAGAACAGTCGCCCGTGAAATAATTTTTGTTAAAAGGTAAAACTTTAAAGAATAATTTTACATTTTGTGATACAATAACTGTCATGCAAATATTCCAGCAGGGCTATTCACAATCGTCTCGGAAAGCGAAATCGACTCGGATTCGATAACTTCTCGCACCGAAACCAATAAACGCTATTAACATTTAACGTTCGGATAAAGGTCACTTAGATACATCCTATAACTATTGTATCGTCATTTAGTTACATGTATTTACGAATTTTGTAGATAAATAGGCTTTTGTATTTTTTTAGGTAGTAACGCCTGAACAAAAACATAATGCAATATTTTGAAGTTAGCCATTGATATCGAATATAAAAAATATATAATTTAACTATATAATAAATAACAAAAAAACTGAGATATGTCTCGTTTCTGTCGGGTCTGGGTTTTTTTCTATGGGGCGTGACCGTACTTCTTTGACGTTTGTTTTCGATAATTGTGACAGTTTGCATCGAAAACTTTACGAGAGCTCTGAGGCTGGCGAAAACTTTCCGAATATTTATGATTAGAAGAGATAAATAAACCCTTTTAATTTATAAGGTAGGTAACAAAAATTAATTACATTTATCTATAAGACGTATTTTCATATAATTACTTCAATATTTGCACTTAATCGTAAAGCTGAATTTTTGTGAAAGGTGTGTTTTTATAAGTTTTCTATCACAAAGCAGCATACATATATATATGCTGCTTTGTGAAACGAGACATATCTCAGTTTTTTTGTTATTTATTATATAGTTAAATTATATATTTTTTATATTCGATATCAATGGCTAACACCAAAATATTGCATTATGTTTTTGTTTAGGCGTTACTCTAAAAAAAACACTAAAGCCTTTTTATCTACAAAATTCGTAAATGCATGTAACTAAATGACGATACAATAGTTATGGGATGTATCTAAGTGACCTTTATCCGAACGTTAAATGTGAATAGCGTTTATTGGTGTCGGTGCGAGAAGTTATCGAATCCGAGTCGAATTCGCTTTCCGAGACGATTGTGAATAGCCCGGCAGGTCATGTAAAAATATTGATAATACCCGTCTTCAAAATATACAACATGTAACAAAAACCCTGCGGTTCCAGTTACGTGCGTTAACAGAATCAGTATTCAAATGTATAGAAATAACTTTACTTCAGAAAACCCGACCGTAAAATTTTTAAATTAAATTAAAATTAATTTTCATTTGCAAATTTTATGTGATTTTAATACCTCTGCATTGGCCAGGGGTTAAGAATATTGTCAAAGGCTCCGCCTTACCTATACACGTGTCAGTTAGAGGTCATAACTTAAATTAAAAATTAAAAAAAAACCGAAACAGAAAGAGCTGTTAATCTTCAAATGGCTAAAAAAAATTTCTATAATTATAAGCTAAGGTTACTCTCGATCAAGTGACCTTTCAGGCATAAAACTAAATCTAAATCGATTCATGCGTTATGCCGCCTGTGGCGGGTGGAAGGAAAAGGGGATATCTCCCGCCGGGCAAGGTGTTCTGCCCGGGGAGCGGCCAACGCTCCTAGTGGTAGTTCGGAGCTATTCTGTATATCCTGCTTTAACTTCGGAACTTTGTTAGCGCGATTTAGGCTTCGATATGTTTCGCTTGTGGCGCGACGACAGCGCCGCCACACCGTGGAATTCCCTCTATTCCCTCCCTTTCATATACCGACGGGACGGTAATCCGAAACGACCGGAGAAAGATCACACAGAGCTTTTACGTGCTGCCAAGGCACGTAGGTGCACAACAAAATAATAATAAAAATGGTTATCATTTTTAATAATTTTATCTATCTGTTTTGTCCGGACTAATTTTCAAAACGACTGAACCGATTGTAATAAAACTTCTCGAACAGATTGAAGCCAGCATTGATTTGGGCTATATTTTTTCTGAAAAAAGATGAACATTTTTTTTTTTGGTAGAACTAAAAATTTATCAAATAATTGGTCTTTGATTATACTAAATCTAAATGATGCGACATTAATAGATTCATCCCAGGCAAAGTTGGGGCGAATCGTTAGTAAATAAATGATCATCAGATGTCAGAAGTAATCATTGAATGTAATAACTATAGTCTAAAGTCTAGACCGTAATTAGTTTACTAATGAGTCCTCACAAGCCATAAGGATTATTGTTTATATGGTGTAACCACCGGTCGACCTTGGGTCATTGTCACATCAATGTCATATGTACTTGCCATTGATGTGTATAAAGTTTGTATTAAAGTTTATTTGTTACCTACCAGGTTTATCGGTGGCATCACTGGAAATACCAGTTTTTAAATATTGTTAGCCACTTCGATTATAAATTGATATTATTTAGAAGTGGGCAAACACTTGAAGACCAGTACAGCCATCAAAACTTTAACGCAGGGCCACTACTATTATCTTTATATATAAAAATTACGTGTCACGTTGTTTGTCTGCGATCAACTCCTAAACTACTGAACTGATTTCAATGAAATTTTGCACACTCTGTGCAGTTTGGTCCAACTTGAGAGATAGGATAGTTTTTATCCTGATAAGTAACACTCAATATTTTTTATTACAAATTTAAGGATTTTTTATACGAAGGGTCGTTGAAAAGGACAGAACCACGTCTGCATTTATATTTTTTTTATAGAACAAGGGTGATAAACGCGCACACAGCCCGTCTGATGGTAAGTGGATGCCGTGGCCCATAGAATCTACATCTGAGTTGACTAAGATCGAATGCCTCGTTTCCAGTTAAAAGAGTCTCCGGTTCTCTACACTCACCATGCGAAACACAGCAGTATTAAGCTGCTATTTTACGGTGGTATTCTGTGAGCGCATGGTCCTTCCACCAAG